TCTGTCTATGGTCATGGCTCCATCATGGTCTCCATCTATAAATATTTGCAGTATCCAGGCTGCATCCAGGGAGACCAGGGAGCAGAGAAAAATCCCAAAGGGATCTAGAATGTGAAACTCTGTCCTCCGTTTTCTGCTTTTATCCCAAGCGCCTTATAATAAGGATCTACGCGAGGATTTGATATGAAAGCTAAAAGCTAGAAGCTCACTTGTCTGGTGGTGTCAGAGTCTTTTGCTTGATCCATCCAAGGGTTCCCAAGCTGGAACCTTCTGCCATCATATGCTGAGTATCAAGGGAATCCTGCCTGGGATAATGTTAGAACAGGCGCTTCACTAACACCTCATATATAAATAAAAACATGATCCTGGTTGGTTTGCATGATAATGAAACACCTGATGATGATGCGTCCTAACTCTCCAGCACCTGCATGCCTTCTATACCTCTTTCCTGATACCAGGCTGTGGAGGAACGTTGACAACTGCTTCTGGAGGGCTGTCGTCTCCCAACTATCCTCTTCCCTATCATCCCAACGCTGAATGCTACTGGAACATCAGGACCAGTCAGGGAAGCCTGCTCCAGCTGTCTTTCTCAGCCTTCCACCTGGAATCCAGCTCTACCTGCGCTTTTGACTATCTAGCTGTGAGTAACGAGTAATGTAGCCCACGTTGTTTTCAGGACACCACCTAGACAACCAGCGGTTGAATGACGACATGCGGCTAAACATGTCATCACTGGTCAGATCAGGGAGGGGACCAGAGAAAATTACGGAGTCCGACATTTTTTTGGCAAACTTACACACCGAAGCAACACTAATTTTAGTGACCTCCGATCGGCGTAACCGGGTGTCATTACCACCAGCGTGAATAACAATCTTACTGTATTTAACCTTATCCTTAGCCAGTAGTTTCAGGTAGGATTTGATGTCGCCCGTTCTGGCCCCCGGCAAACATTTGACTATGGTCCCTGGTGTCTCTGATGCCACGTTTCTGACTATGGAGCTGCCAATCACCAGAGGGGGGTTCTCAGTGGGTGTGTCACTGAGTGGGGAAAACCGGTTAGAAAGGTGAACGGGTTGGTGGTGACCAGTGGGCAGAGATCCACGACTACGCTTTCTGCGTACAGTTACCCAATCGCCTGGCTGCTCAGGCACTTTTGGAGGACAGCTACGTGGGGGGCCTACTTTAACTCCTGGATGTTCAACAGCCTGAAGCCTGGATTCCAACTCTGACACCCTCGCCTCCAAAGCTACTAAAATACTACACTTATTACACATCCCATTATCACTAAAGGAGGCAGAGGAATAACTGAACATCTGACACAGAGAGCAGGAGAGAGGAGAGGAAGAAGGAAGAGTTGGAAAAGAGTCAAGGGAGGGAGAGAGAGAAGCCATAGCAATGCTAAGCTAGCGCTAGCCTAGGCTAGCTACTCCTTGCTGTTGTGCAAAATAATGTCCTACAGATAATGAATAGATGGTTAACTAGAACTGGAGTTATAGTTAATTATTTAACCTATTCAAAATCAAACGTAAAATCAATTTAGCGTTCTTAGTTAGACAATCGTAGCTTTGAATCATCTACTTACCGGGTTGCGGATTCATTTAACAGTCGGTCCGACTGTTAAAATCCAGGTATCCATCAGTCTAGTGGCCCAGCAGAGTCACTAGTTATCAGCAGACCTATTAATTATCAATAAAGAACCTCTTATCTCTGTTTATTCGCACTATTACCCAAAGGGGTGGATCCAACCTGAGTGATAAACCCTCCGTGATATGAACGATCAAAACCACTAGAGATTAACCAATGATGTCTTTATTCTAAAAATTCAGGATTACAGAAAATCTAACATCTATGCAAACACTACACGCTACTAGAAAAATAAACACGAGGTAGATTAAATGACTAGTTTAACGAAATTGAAAATAAGGAATAAAACTAAATAGAAAACAAAGAAATAAAACCATGAGAGTCCATTTACTGGCTTCTGAGATTGTCCAAAATATGCCAGATATTAAAACATTCACTAATGTCCGCTAGCAGCAGGTATGATGATAACACTCATTTTACTCATGTAAAATTAACACATCCAGCTTAATATTGGTAAAATGATTAAAAATGTATTAACAGTAGCAGCAGAAGTCGTTTAGCAAAACACATTAACGGACAATGTTACTGTGTGTGAATGGGTGTAACTAAATGAGGGACCCCCCCCCTTTTCTCCACGTGGTGAGAGGAACAAAGAAAAATGGGGGAGGGACAGTCTGTAATCAAGATGGCTCCAACTGCGTGGCCCCACGCGGTAGAATGTGGTAATTTGGTAATGCTCTTAAGGTAGAAACAAAAGAAGATAGAAAAGGGAAGAAAAAGGCAAAGAAAGTTCACTTGCAGCCTCACAGCACACACACTTCAACCAAATGAACAAACTCTTAATCAGCACAGATTAAAAATCAGCATTAATTCAAATCCCTGAATCTACCTGTCTCTGTCACCGAGCGCAGCACCTCATTAATGCATCATAAAGGAAAGATAATTGATTTACTGTGAGATGCCTTCTGTCCGTGAAGGATTGATGTTTCCTAGGGAACCGTGGCCTGGTTTCGGCCGCGCAGAGGTTTTCTCGGCACCGGGTCCGGCCTCGGGAAAGTTCAGTCAGTTCGGTGCTACAGCAGAGGGCTTGATATGCTCACAAGTCGAAGACGATGGATTTTGCAGAAGTAATCGGCGAGGAGCGTCCTCCCGGCCGATCCGTCCAAAGAAAGGGGAAAACGAAACTCACTCCGCTGTCAGTTTCAAAGGCTTCCGTCTCCCCAGTTGGCGCAGCCGCTATGCACAATGGAACACTGCGATCCGTGACTTTTGACGCAGGAAAACGAAAGCTACTTCCATTTAGCTTTCTTCTGGTATTTCACGTGAAACGAGCCTCCCCTGACGGGCTTTTACAACCTAGGAAAAAGAGAGAGAAGATGTGCGCACGCTGCGTTTTAAGCCATGAGTGACGTGAGGGCACTTCCTGTCGGAGTATCGGCTGATTGGTCTGTGCCATGAGTGACATGAGGGCACTTCCTGTCGGAGTATCAGCTGATTGGTCGGTGCCATGAGTGACGTGAGGGCACTTCCTGTCGGAGTATCAGCTGATTGGTCTGTGCCATGAGTGACGTGAGGGCACTTCCTGTCGGAGCATCGGCTGATTGGTCTGTGCCATGAGTGACGTGAGGGCACTTAGTGACGTGAGGGCACTTCCTGTCGGGGTATCGGCTGATTGGTCTGTGCCATGAGTGACGTGAGGGCACTTCCTGTCGGAGTATCGGCTGATTGGTCTGTGCCATGAGTGACGTGAGGGCACTTCCTGTCGGAGTATCGGCTGATTGGTCTGTGCCATGAGTGACGTGAGGGCACTTCCTGTCGGAGTATCGGCTGATTGTTCTGTGCCATGAGTGACGTGAGGGCACTTCCTGTCGGGGTATCAGCTGATTGGTCTGTGGCATGAGTGACGTGGGGTCACTTCCTGTCGGAGTATCAGCTGATTGGTCTGTGGCATGAGTGACGTGGGGTCACTTCCTGTCGGAGTATCAGCTGATTGGTCTGTGCCATGAGTGACGTGGGGGCACTTCCTGTCGGGGTATCGGCTGATTGGTCTGTGCCATGAGTGACGTGAGGGCACTTCCTGTCGGAGTATCGGCTGATTGGTCTGTGCCATGAGTGACGTGAGGGCACTTCCTGTCGGGGTATCGGCTGATTGGTCTGTGCCATGAGTGACGTGAGGGCACTTCCTGTCGGGGTATCAGCTGATTGGTCTGTGCCATGAGTGACGTGAGGGCACTTCCTGTCGGAGTATCAGCTGATTGGTCTGTGCCATGAGTGACGTGAGGGCACTTCCTGTCGGGGTATCGGCTGATTGGTCTGTGCCATGAGTGACGTGAGGGCACTTCCTGTCGGAGTATCGGCTGATTGGTCTGTGCCATGAGTGACGTGAGGGCACTTCCTGTCGGAGTATCAGCTGATTGGTCTGTGCCATGAGTGACGTGAGGGCACTTCCTGTCGGAGTATCAGCTGATTGGTCTGTGCCATGAGTGACGTGAGGGCACTTCCTGTCGGGGTATCGGCTGATTGGTCTGTGCCATGAGTGACGTGAGGGCACTTCCTGTCGGAGTATCGGCTGATTGGTCTGTGCCATGAGTGACGTGAGGGCACTTCCTGTCGGAGTATCGGCTGATTGTTCTGTGCCATGAGTGACGTGAGGGCACTTCCTGTCGGGGTATCAGCTGATTGGTCTGTGGCATGAGTGACGTGGGGTCACTTCCTGTCGGAGTATCAGCTGATTGGTCTGTGGCATGAGTGACGTGGGGTCACTTCCTGTCGGAGTATCAGCTGATTGGTCTGTGCCATGAGTGACGTGGGGGCACTTCCTGTCGGGGTATCGGCTGATTGGTCTGTGCCATGAGTGACGTGAGGGCACTTCCTGTCGGAGTATCGGCTGATTGGTCTGTGCCATGAGTGACGTGAGGGCACTTCCTGTCGGGGTATCGGCTGATTGGTCTGTGCCATGAGTGACGTGAGGGCACTTCCTGTCGGGGTATCGGCTGATTGGTCTGTGCCATGAGTGACGTGAGGGCACTTCCTGTCGGAGTATCGGCTGATTGGTCTGTGCCATGAGTGACGTGAGGGCACTTCCTGTCGGGGTATCGGCTGATTGGTCTGTGCCATGAGTGACGTGAGGGCACTTCCTGTCGGGGTATCGGCTGATTGGTCTGTGCCATGAGTGACGTGAGGGCACTCCCTGTCGGGGTATCGGCTGATTGGTCTGTGCCATGAGTGACGTGAGGGCACTTCCTGTCGGAGTATCGGCTGATTGGTCTGTGCCATGAGTGACGTGAGGGCACTTCCTGTCAGAGTATCAGCTGATTGGTCTGTGCCATGAGTGACGTGAGGGCACTTCCTGTCGGAGTATCAGCTGATTGGTCTGTGCCATGAGTGACGTGGGGGCACTTCCTGTCGGGGTATCGGCTGATTGGTCTGTGCCATGAGTGACGTGAGGGCACTTCCTGTCGGGGTATCGGCTGATTGGTCTGTGCCATGAGTGACGTGAGGGCACTTCCTGTCGGGGTATCGGCTGATTGGTCTGTGCCATGAGTGACGTGAGGGCACTTCCTGTCGGAGTATCGGCTGATTGGTCTGTGCCATGAGTGACGTGAGGGCACTTCCTGTCGGGGTATCGGCTGATTGGTCTGTGCCATGAGTGACGTCAGGGCACTTCCTGTCGGAGTATCGGCTGATTGGTCTGTGCCATGAGTGACGTGAGGGCACTTCCTGTCGGAGTATCGGCTGATTGGTCTGTGCCATGAGTGACGTGAGGGCACTTCCTGTCGGAGTATCGGCTGATTGTTCTGTGCCATGAGTGACGTGAGGGCACTTCCTGTCGGGGTATCAGCTGATTGGTCTGTGGCATGAGTGACGTGGGGTCACTTCCTGTCGGAGTATCAGCTGATTGGTCTGTGGCATGAGTGACGTGGGGTCACTTCCTGTCGGAGTATCAGCTGATTGGTCTGTGCCATGAGTGACGTGGGGGCACTTCCTGTCGGGGTATCGGCTGATTGGTCTGTGCCATGAGTGACGTGAGGGCACTTCCTGTCGGAGTATCGGCTG